TTGGATAAGAAATGGAGTTGTCTTGAAAACAAATTTAATGCATTATGAATCATGCTATTTTTGGAAAGAATAGTGATGTAATCACAAAGAATAAGAGTTATGAGCACCATATTTTTCACTGAAAAAACCCCATAAATATAGCCTTGTAAATGATTCTTGTCTGACCATAGCCATTGGTTAATCCTATGAATACAATAAACTCTTCTGTATTGATTTCTTGTTCTCCTTCATTGTGTAAACAGGCATAAAATAATGCGTACTTGCAATTGTTCATACTGGTCTCTAATTGTACTTTTGTTTGTTAACTTGAGGAATTGGTAAAGCTTAAGAACCAAATTCATTGCTGAAGTAAATGAACTAAGCCATCTAAAGTTGCAGCAATAATAAAACTGGTGTTAAATATTTAATATGGTACACTCTTGGAATATTTCTGTTGATACAGAGACAGATAAAGAAAAAAAAGCAACAATTCAGTGAGGCATGCATGACTTCAGAAGACAGTTATTATTTAATGAAAAAAAATAAATAAATCTTGTGCTTGGGATGAAACAGATCTTATATTATCTGCCTGCTCTTGCTAGATCTTTAAAATATTGTGTGCAGCTGCACTGAGAAATCATTTAAAGGTGAAACAAAAAAGAAAATTGTATTATTTTACTTATTTCTGCACTATTAATGTTTACTATTCTTATCCTATTATTTCACTTTTTAATGTTTTAAATATTGAAATGGTTCATCTTTTCTAATCTCTTTCTGGCAACTACTATGCAAGAGCTTTCCCAAGATCAGAAACATGCATAATGTATCACTAAATTAGATAGAAGATCTGCCACCTCAAGATTGTTTGTTAAAATTGTCTCATTCTGTTTATCATTTTTTGTTTCTCTGTTCTTCCTCACACGTTGATAACATCTTGTCAGAGAAGTCATGGTAACTCCAAAACTCGAGAAAACGATTCCTTTTGAAGACTTTTGGAGGATCATTTCTGAGAAACTATGTCACAGGATTAAATACTTATTTCTACTCTATTTTGTACACTAAAAGGCTTGGCAAAAGAAAGACTAGAATTTCATAGTCATTGTTCTTTTAAGTTGATCTTAAGTTCTGAAATTCTAAAAGGTTTTGGCCTGTATGATTCTTGATTACTCACTTTCCCATTCAGTTTTGCTACTGATCCCTGGTTGATCACCAAGGCTACCAAAATGATGCAGCAAACAGCAAACATTAAAATAGTTGCAATGACTATAAGCTAGTTTTTAGAGCGAATTTCACAATATAGTTAAGAGATTCCAGACATATGTCTGACACTGAAAGTGCCATGCAAAACAGAAAACATTTCTAATGTTGTGTCTGCTTGCTAATTGCAGTCAGGCCTCCAAATTGTCTGTCCAAAGATGCCTTATTCTTTTGTCTTTTTTCACTCATAATAATTGAATTTCAAGTATGAGAAAGGTTCTGTGTTACACATTTTCCCTACTATAGCCCTTTCCCCTTCAGTGTGTCCTTTAACCACCTTTCAACCCTGTTGAGTGTTTCTATTAAATAATGAGTGGTATCATTAACATTTTCCAATTAAAAAGTCCAAAGACAAGCACCATAATCTGAGTGCCTTTTAAAAATCTCAATCAAATTACTAATAGTAGCTGGGTAAGAGGTTGTTCATTCATTTTGATGGTAACCTCTAGGCAACAGATGAAACCAATGTATGCTGAAATGATGCTAGCTTACTGCAGTGTGATACCAATGGGAAATTTCTAAATTACTTGATGTGCTGGAACTGAGGGAGAATTTCATAAAATATTTTATCCCATAATTCCATATTCCAAATATAGTGTGTGCTATTCTGCTTAAAATTCAAAAACAATGGTTCAAAGATTAGCCTAGTAAAAATCCTGCAAACCCCCAGCTTTTGTACATTAATGTGAGAGAGTATTTTTTGATTATAAAAAGAAAGGACTGGAAAAATACATTTAAAATTTGCCCACTGATGTAAAATCCAATCACTGTGACACACATAATTTTTATTATTGTGACATTGTTTTGTTTTTTCATTTGGCTAACACTGAAAACTGAAACGGTGCTTCCAAATTCATTTGAAAACATTTCTCTGCTAAGCAGCTGATAATGTAATTTGGATAAGTAGTAAAGAAGCAGCACATGGTTAAAGAAAAATAACAGAATGAAACCCAGCAGTGGAAAATTCCTTGCAAGAAATGTTTTTGAAGGTAAGAGAAATTTAAAGTAACAGGGAAGAATGCAAGGAAACCAAGTAGTAGGTGGCATGTTATATGCTATTGAATATGGAATGGTGACATATACTATATTATGTAGTGTTTGAAGAGTAATCTGTTGCTAAAATTTAAAACATTTCTGATAAAAGCCAAATCTTTGAGAGAAATATGCTTAATCCAGAGGGAACATATAATTTGTAGTTAAAATTTAGGAAGCTGAGATCAGATGTTGAATAAAACAAAACAAGAATTTCATTGATAAGATAGTATTTGAAGAGAAAAATAGAAATAGAGAGAAAAGGGCACGGATGAAAAGGAGGTGAGAGGGCGAAGAATAGTAAGGAATAGATGCTATTTTTAAAAAGACTCGAGGATAGGTAATGTATTGTAACTGTAAGGACTGAACCCAACACCTGCTATTGAACTACTCCTGTTTGGATGCATCTTCGCTGCCTTTGTGTTCGCTATTCATATGTTATATATTCTGTAATCCAGCATTGTAAGTGGGTATGCCATTACCCCTGCTTTACCCTGAATTTCTTTTGTCCAGAAAGATTCTGTTTTTACTAGCTTTATGTCTGGTCTTGGAGCAGAGTAAAGTAATCTGAATATCAGTTTGATCTGGCACATTTCTTGCATGAACAAACGTAGCACGTGGTAAAGTAACTGATCTCCTTTTTATTTGACTACGTAAGTATAGGAAAACAGCTGATTAATTAGTCCCTTTTCACCACGATCACAAAGCAGCACTTCAGGTGAGGTAAGTGGGGGCAGCTGATAATGTTAGCATCATTAAGGGAAGAAGCAGTGATCTTCTGAAGGAGAGCAGAGAGCTTGAAAGGCATTAACAATGTTTTGTTCAACCTGTGTGGTTTGACAAGGTGGAAAGCAAACCAGTGAGCTCATCCCCCATCAAGAGAGAATAAGATAGGCAGCAAAACAGCCAGAGGATTTCTCAGCATTTCAGAGAACAGGATGGAGGGGTAGGGTAATTTTAATAGAGGTCAGGCTGGAATTCTTGATTGTGTGTTACCACTCTTGTGGGTTTACCCTGTGGCTGGGGGTATGTGCTTTCACTTTTTGTCTCTTTGTCTTCACACCAGTAAAATGTAACCAATGATACTTGTTCCTTTTGTAGGCATTTTCCAGTGCTTAGTTCATTAATGCTTTTGAAGTATGCAAAAGCCCTGGAAACATCACATACTTTTAATCCTGCTGTTCATACATTAGAAAGGCTGTTGAGCACAGTCATTACATTCACCGTACAGATGGTTAGTTTAGACTGTAGTTAATTTCATAAATGCAACAGCGTGAACATTTCCAAGCAATACATAGAATAGAAGCTTTAAGCCAGATCTCTAGATTTCTTGGAAATCTGAGAGCCTTCAAGTGCCTTGGTATGTGAATGGAAAGGCCGACAGGCTGGCAGGTGGATAATTGCAGGCACAAAGGGAAGACATCAAGGGAGACTGTATGCTATGCATCATAGCACTAAATAATGTAGTTTTGGTTTAGTAACAGCAAATGTGCACTCTTAAATCCAGTGGTTTGTGTATGAAGGTGCAGGAGGGTTGATGAATGGGAGAAAAAAGAGGAGAATGAGGAGAATATGACAGCGACCTGGTGTCTTTTTACACGTTAGCCTTCAGTGCGCTGACGCTATGGAGGAATGAGTTGGGCCAAGTCAAGGTGAAGTGCATCCATCTGGATGTTTTTGTACTGCCTGTGATTTGAGGAATGCCAGATGGAGGTACAGGGCCATGGGGCAGAAAGCGAGTGCCAATGCATGCTCATGTGGACGCTTGTTACAATGCAGGCTCCAAGACTGTCTTCATTTGTTACTCCTTCATCCCACCATTTGCTTTTCTCCTTTTACACTCCTGAAGCTCTGACTGACCTTAGAGGGGCTGGGGGAAGGCAGTGCCAATGATGGGCTGTTGAACCTGCATCCCAAGGGACAGCTCTGTCTGTGGGTTGGAATCGCCCCTGAGACAGGCAAATGGCTGTGAGTTGTATCTTACTGTCATGGCAAGCCACATGAACAGGATGCATTTGTGTTGAGGAAGAGGCTTTTAGTTTTAATTACAATAAACTTTCTTAGTCTACTATAGCAGACTTAGTGCACTGAATGCTGTATCCCAGGCTGTTCTCTGTCGTACTATCTGCAATTCTTCAGACACTGCTGCAAGTTTTTCAGAGTGTTTGATTACAGGTTCTAAACTGCTGCTCATCTCCTGCTGATACTGCACAAAACCTGCCAAAAGCCTTCTTTTGTAGATAGAGTTGAGTCTGGATTACTTTCCAGACATTCTGTCAAGAAATTATACAGCACAGAAAGCAGGTTTTGTTTCCGTGGTCACTCCAATACAGGCTTTTGTCTCCTTTTATCCGCATATGGTTTGTTTCTCTGAAAAAAATTCAAATGTACATTTCAAATGAGCATGCTTAAAAGATGAGAATAGTTGCTTTATTTTCCACAGAGATCTTTGTGGTTCTGTGTGGCTAGGTGTTTCCTTTTGCTGTTGCTTAACATGAAGAATAGTTTGAAAGAAAAATAAACAGGCTTTTTTTTTTTTTCCATAAAATTTGGCATTTATTTCGTAATTATTTCCTTATAAATAAAGGTATTGATCCTGTAGAGTTGTTATTCAAGTCATATGCTTGAGCTAATTTAAATGGTAATGTTAATATGAGTGGGATAATATCTCAACCTCATGCTGCTCACTAATCTGCAGCAACCAACATTTTTATCTCTTCTTCTCTCCCCAGCACTGCAGTGATAACACTCACCATTGCCAATCAGATATGAATATAGTAGGTGCTTGGAAGAGAGGTTACACTGGAAAGAATGTTGTGGTGACCATCTTGGATGACGGCATTGAAAGAAACCATCCAGACTTGATGCAAAATTATGTGAGTGTCTGCAGTTTGATTTGCTGCTTTATTATTAACTTGAAGTAAATTTGGTTAAATTCCTAGAAAGATGGAGGGAGGGAGGGAGGGAGGAAGGGAGGAAAGAAAAAGTCTCATAAGAGGGTTTTCTCAGATGATAACATCAGTGGGAGGAAAAAAGATGAATTCTGGTAATTTGTATTCCTTTAGTTTAAAAGTATATTGAGTCTGAATGTCTTTAGTATCTGAATGCACCTTGTAGCTTAGTGCTATATTTCTGAAGGATTGGAGTTAATAATTAGATGATTTTTTTCTCTTTTCTGTAATAATTTTATCAAATATTTTCAAACTCTCAGAACTTAGGATTGGAATAAGCTGCTTTCCTCAGTTAACATGAGCAGCTGAAGTCTGTTCTTGACCAATTCATTTAGCTAGCAAGACAGTAGCTCTTTCAAAGACTGTAATGTTAAGCGAATCCTTCTATGTATTTATTTTTAAAGCTATTTATCTTACTCCTAGAAATAATATTAAAGGAAAAAGATATGACTCACTCAATTAAAAACAGGTGTAGAATATTTTGGAGTCTTTATAGTAAATCCTTCTAAATTTCAATGAGCCTCCTCCTCCCAGTTTGCTGTAGGAGAAGATCTGTGTGTTTTTATTTTTCTTCTTTTTTTTAAAAAAAAAAAAAACTATGCCAGATATTTCGTGTCACATCAGAAGATTTCTGTTTGGTTATGTTTCATCATATTTAATGATTGTTTTAATATACCTTGGAAAAATTGCATAATGCTAGGAGAAGCTGCTTCTTCAGTGGGGACTTCTTTTGTTAACTTCAGAGTTTAAAGCTGCTCAGCGTGTCAGGGCCATGCTTTGCTGGAATTATTTTTCCTGAGCTTCAGAAATAGGTATTTACCTGAAAGTACTTGACTTTAGTGACCTTATTATTTCTTTCAAAAGAAGTGTATGAACAGTATGTTCTCACAAAATAAGAAAAAGGAAATGTAGTTGGATTAAGTATAACTGTTGAAGATGACTATTGCAAAGCAAGTAGGGTGGTAAGGCACTGGCACAGGCTGTGCAGAGAAGCTATGGATGTCTTATTCGTGGAGATGTTCAAGGTCATGTTAGATAGGGCCCTGATATGGCGTGTGGCAGACCTGCCTCTGGCAGGGGGTTGGAACAAGATGATCATTAAGGTTCCTTCCAACCCAAGCCTTTTTTTCCCAAGTAGCATATCATCTTGAAAAAACACTGAAGAGATAAACATGACAATTACATCTTTAACAACCTATCAAGAGCTACAATCATGTTCACAGTTTAAATCCATTTATTTTAAATTAGCAGTACTTATATCTGTATCTTTCCTTATACTGCATGTGGAACTCACATCTGAAATATTTGGGGGGACTGCATAAACAAAATCGAGAGCCCTTTGCCCTAATTGTCAGTGTATGGTTGATCCTAATGTATGTCACATCTTTCCCTTTAATCTCTAAAGTTGTTTAAACAAACCAAACATAACTTTACCCCTTCACTGAATGGCCTAGATTGTATCATGTGTCACTTCATCCCAGTACTATCCTTCCACTGAATTTAAAGCATCTATTTATTCCCCTACCGTCTCCTCTCTCCTTTTCCTCTTGCCAAGAAGGAATTCCCCTACAGCAGTACACATTGCTTGTTTGATGACAAATGCCTTCTATATGTCAGATTATTGCTGGTGTGACTGCAAACAGGAATATTTGAGGTGGATGTGGTAACTGGTTTTGAAAAAAGAAGAAATTAAAAAGAACTGCTTACCATGTCAACACACTGCATGCTACCACACAGATTAATGGGAGCCATACAAACCAGCAGCTATGTACTCTATAAACTATTTTCAGCTGGAATAATCTTGGTAAAATTTGGAGCAAAAGTGTGCAGATATCGTAGCTATGATTGAAACAGTTACACTCCCAGACAAATGGGAATGCAATTTAAGTAACATTTCAATCTGTACTTTTTATAACAATATCCTTAAGAAACTTACATTGTTCCCTGAAACTATGACTGAAATTTTCAGAACTACATGTTTTCAGAGCATTCATATTCTTCCCTTTTCTAGAAATAAAATAAAGTCTGTAAATGGTGTAATTATTAAATATATAATCCTTTCCTTTTTTTTAAAAAAAAAAAAAGTGATCATCATAGAACCACAGGAATGTTAGTTAACCTAATTACTCTCTTGTAGAAACCTGCTGAAGAATTTATAGGCCACATGACTCAATGGTTAATTAATGAGAAAATGGTTTTCTTTCTCCTGTTGGCTACAGGATTCGCAGGCCAGTTTTGATGTCAATGGAAATGATTTTGACCCTATGCCTCGATACGATGCCAGCAACGAGAACAAGTAAGGCGCAATGACACTTAGACATTTTTAGTTCTGTTCATCAAAGAAAGAATACCAGTTTTGCTCCAGAAGCCTAGGAAACATGAACCCTAATAAAGCAGTGTGATTTGCATTTAAATATTTGTGAAATATATGTTTATGTCTCTTCCTTGCACACTGCATGACACTTGCTCTTTGAATGCATTTGGAGCAATCCAAAAACACATTAAAAATAGTTTGAGAATTCTGGGTGTGTAAAATGAACAATTTTCAATCCTTTTGGGATACAAAATATAAGGAGTGACTCTTAGCATTCTTATATTCCATCTCAGTGAGTTATTGGCAGGTTGTTATGTGTGTTAACTGTCTTGGCTTCTGACTTCCTTGAATTTCAGTGACTTTCTGTTTTGAAGGAATATGTAAGTTAGTAAGATTTTACTTTCTAATATAATCAGTCTTTTAACCTTGTGGAAATTTTACATGTAAAAGTTTGCTAGAAACTACATAAAGCACTAATAGCAATTCTGGCTAGCTGTGATATCAGTGTTATATGACTGCCTGAATATATCTGCACGAGTGATGCATTTCTCCTTCAGAACTTAGCTTCCTGGTATTTGTCATTCTAACTCTGCTCTTCAGATTGAAGGCTAGGAGGGAAGTTGGCAGGGACAGCTCACAGTCAGGTAGCAGGCTGCCTTTCTGACCCAGTGGGTATTTGAGGGCAGTTTTTTTTAACTGTGTATCTGGCATTAAAAAAAAAAAAAAAACCTTTATGTGGAATCACATGTATTAGAGGAATCCTGCTAGCTGTCAAAATGCCGTGTGGGCATATTGTTTTCTGAGATTTGGGTGTTTCTTAGTTCTGGAAAGCAGTTAATGCTACTTGCTTGCAGAAAACAGAATGCAAAAGGTGAAACTTTGTCTTTTACGCAAATCAAATACTTTTGAATTTGTGTGTTTTTTTGTTTTGGTTTGGTTTTTTTCTTTTTTCCTTTTTTTCCCCCTGCAAGTCTATAAACTTTCTCCAGAAGAATGTAGCAGGTATTAGGTAACTCACTGTGAGTCGACAGAACATTTGGCATTAACTTCACTGGAGGAACCAATTAGAGCAATCTTGGATCACACTTGGATGGGAGAATGCCCATCTTCTCAATATAGAAGGGAAAATACATAAGCATACTGAAGAACAGGACCCTAATGTTTGTAGCTACCTGTTACGTATAGACGGACTAATCTTAAAGCAAATCTCAAGGAGCTACTGTAGGTACTTTCTTAAGATGAAATAACCACAGAAACTTCATGTGATTCCTGATGAATTTTATTTGCTCAGTCAGCATGATCCTTTCTGGTTGGCTGAGATGTGAAATACATAAGAATTTAGCTCTTAAAAAAAAAAAAAAAAAAAAGCATGGAAATAAGTATTCACATATGCATGACTAGAAATCCTGTTTAGCATAAAAAGTATTATGATGGTGTTAATTTGAATCATAATAATAGTTTATTTATTGCTGGCTTCAATCAGCATATGTTCTCACTCACTTATTCTTATTTGATTCTGTTTACTTATTGCCTTTTTTTTTTTTATTTAGGAACAAGTACATACAAGAACTGTTTCTTCCCCTTTTGCCCATTAAGCATGTCTTTCTCATCCTATTTTCACATAGAATCTCAGATTACTGAATCATATCTATTTCTTTTTCACCAGAAATCTCCTGGAGCAAGAGTACCATGAGAGTATAAATAGATAAATTCAGTAACACCCTTTGCTTTCAAATGTGTAAACATGCTGCACGTGCAGGCTAGTTTAAGTTTATACAAGGAAGAAAACATTGATGCAGAACAAATGGTAGAAAGACCCGGTGGCTGTATTGACTCACTTAGTGGCAAGCCAAGAATTTCAGAACCAGATGCTTGTAATGAAAATGCTAATACTGCACTGAAGTTTTTAGGAGATATCCTCAAGACAAACGTTCACTGAAAAAGAGGAATGAATAAAAAAGGACTATCAACTCCTAATCTTTCCAAGTTCTTTTGGTTTTTGGGTTTTTTTTTGTTTGTTTTTTTTTGTTTTTTTTTTTTCCACAACTGAAGAATTTCATGTTATTATTTTAGCTTTGGAGGTGACTTGTCATCGATGCCAAAAGGTTAGAATCAGCAAATGTGCTATAAATTTTTGGTGGCTAACAAAAGAAATCTTTGTTTTGGCATATGATAAATTTTAGAACTGCAGACTAGATTTCTGAAAGCGTTAGTCACATTCAAATGGAATAGTAACATACCATCATAAATTGTTTTCAGCCTGGAGCCTGTAGGCATTGCCAGTCAGCATGCTACAACAACTAATTTATATAGCTAACTACTTCAGATGATCTCTGAACTAGATGCCTAAATTTTATACCCATACTGAGCTTGGAAGAGTGAAAACAGTGACGTCCTCTTCTTATCCCATGTTTTCTCATCACTCCTTCCTTTCTCAAGCCATTGTGCAACTTACCAGAGTAGGAACAAATCAGGATATGAACAGTGCTATCAGAACATCAACAACTAATTTCATTTTCAGCCAGTTACTTTATTCAGCTCATCCCGAGGTCAGAGGAGAGCTAGAGAAATATGAGTGGGGAGAATGAAGGATGGCCTGCACCTCTCACTGGAATGACCGGTTTCACTGAGATAAGGTGACAGCGCACCAAGCACCATGACTGCTGTCTACAAAATAAGAGTGATGTTGTCAGCAGTAATCTCCAAGGAATTCTGAGGAAAGATGTGACAGTCAGCCTGCCTCACAGCTGAACTGCCACTTTGCATCATAACGTCTGTCCTGTCCTGCTGCCCTCGTTTCCTACAAACACACTTTGGCAACTCACCCTGTACATGATGATGCTCCTGTCCTTGGAGCTGGGTCACAGTGAGGGCACGCTCAGAGGCCTCCCGGTTTGTGTGCACTGTCAGAATTTCAAGTCTTTTCAGTGCTGTTAGGAGCCACATAATGTTCAACTGTGAGTCACAGTTGAATCTTTCCCTTTAGCCAGGTACCAAAGCTATCGCTTTCTTACAAAGCATGTCCAGAGAAGAAAACTGCTTTCTATTTTGTTGCTAGTTAGAGTATTTTGTGGGAGATAACACTGGACAGATTCATTCCTTTCCTAAGGCAGGGACATTTGAGTTTTCCAGCTTCACATCCCAGATGAAAAAACTTGGCCTATCCCCTAGGTTCTGAGGTGAGATATGGTGGAAGGACAGACACCGCACTGTAGTGAGCTCCATCAGTAGGTACGGGTGTCAGTGTAGACTCAGCTTTTGCACAAAGAAAAGAAATAGAGCAGGCTTTTAGTGTAAGATTACTCGGCTACCTGAAGTCTACTTAGATGCTCAGTATTTCCAATTAGCAGATATACTTAGCCTAGAAAGCAGTACCTAAGTACCTTCAATTCCTTTCCTAATTTTCTCTGGACTCAACAAGAATTAAATTTGACACAGGCACTGAAAAGCCCATCTAGGACTCTGTCTATATTTTAGATATCTAAATTATCTTTAGATATCAAGACAGGAATTCTGATTATCCAATGCATGTGGTCATTTGGCAATACACACCTCAAGTTCTGCCTGGAAGGTGAGGTAACCACAACCAGGGAGCATTCTGAAAACCATATTTTGCAAAGATTTAGCAATGTGCGAGATCAATTCAGTTGATTAACATGTCCTACTATAGAAACTGGATAATATTATGTAATGGTCGGTTGTGTCATCCAGTAAAGGTGGGAATGTACAAATGGACTAATTTCATGACATGATCTAGTTTACTCTGTTTCATGTTGTAACAACACTTTAAAGAGTGGAATGATAAAAAAGAAATGCTGTAAGAAAAAACAGGTGTCTTTGGACAGCTTTGGATGCAGCTGTAAAATATCAAGGTCTGTTTGTTAGCTTTTCCCTTTCAATTGGTGACAGAAAGCGGTGAACACTTTCTGTTGCTTATTAATGGTGGAAAAAGTATAAGTAAGAAACTGAGGCCTTGTGAAGAGACTGTTGATAAATAGAGTAGTGCTTTCCAGAATGATTTTCTTTAAGATTTAAATTAAATCTTTCTATTAGCTAAAGAGAATAGGAGACTAGAAAGAAACATTAGATTAGTCTCTCAAGGCTTGTAGTCAAAATCAGGGTGGGTCGATAGTTTCTTTAACTACTATGGTATGTAGGAGTCCTGCCAGAGGTTTACTTTGGTTTCTACAAATTGGCAGCAAATCACAAAGTTTGTAAATAGTACAGGCCTATACTAGAACTTCCTTTTGCTCAGAGGCTAGAGACAGCAGTCAGCTGTGGATGAAGTTGTTACTGCTATGCAAAGCATCTTGTTTTGATTTTCTGCTAAGTACCGCTGCTTAATTCTTCTGTTATTCTACAGATACCTGTAAATAATTGTGCTAATCATAGGTCCTTGAACTGAAAGCAGATGGACTCACTTAAATGTACTCTGCTCATTGTATAGCTACAGAAATTAAATATCTATTTATCTATATGTATGTATGTATGTATTAATGTGCTTTGTTACTTTGGCCAAACTAGAATGAGTTTTCCATGAGAAATTTCTCATGATGGTAATTCAGAGCTTAGATCTGATTCTGCAGGCAGGTATTTTTTAAAGCAGGATATTTAAAACAACTCTTTTAAATAATACCACTTGATTTTGATGCTGTTTTTATTAAACTTAGGTAGGAAAAATTAAAAGTAAGCCATCATTCCTGTTTTGTATATACCAGCTTACTGTTTTGAATGCCTCTTCAACATTTTTCAGTAATGCGTTCCTTTACATAAACAACTTGTTTAAAAAACCTTCTCTGTTATCTTTTAATGAGACTTCTGGGAGACAATAATTTTTGCTTTTCAAAAGCCATAAAAATTGCAGCTCTCCTTGATTTCCTCATCTTCAAAGCTTGCAGGACCTGGACAGCCTTATGTCTTATCATACAATAACAAAAAAGTTAATGAGTTAATAAGTTTCAGTCCTGCTTGATTCAGCATAT